CCCCTCTGTTTACCTGATGCAACCTCGATGTTCGTCGGTTTAACCAAACTGAAAAAAGAGACTTTTCGACTGACAGACTGAATAGATGACGGAAAAATCTTTGTAATTGAGGTGGTAACATAGCTAAAGATATCGCATCCAAACAAATTTTAAACGAGAAACAGATAGTTTATTTTTCTATTTATTCAACCCCTCCTACTATCTAAATGTCTCAGTTTCTAGTTTCCTTGGGCTGCTAGTACAACAGTCAGTTAAAGTTGTTTGAAATAGTTGTTACTAAAATCAAATACAGTTGAATCTGTCTACAAACTTCAATAAGAGTGAAGTTTATGGATCGGCGCACGTTCGGAACGAAAAATCCTCAGGCTGCCGTTGTAGAGAAGTGTCTTAGTAGCCTGCAGAACAGGCGTTATTTTTTTGCGTTTTATATATATATTTTTCGCGACCTTCCCGTCGCGCGTGACTCGCGCTCCACGCTCGCCTCGCGCTCGCCTAAAAAACGCAAAAAAAATAACGCCTGTTCTGCAGGCTACCTTAGTAGGGGAACAAGTACCAGTTGATGTGCGGTTTTCGTCCCCGAAGTTGCTAAGCAACATAACGTTACTTATTGCGCTATGCTGGCGCGATTGGCTTATTGGCGCTAGTTTTTGATTTAATTGGATACTGAATCGAAAAACTCTTCGAGTGCTTCAACGAAGATTTGCAAAAACGGTACTTGTTTCCCCGACTGGTATAAGTTCTAGTAATAGAAAAGCCTAGTTTTGCGCGCGGTGTACCGGTGAAAAGTTTTTATTTGAGAGTAACATCCAACCTCGTTCCCAGGGTCTACTCCGCTTTCAAGATGGCGGCTGGCGCGCCTAGCCGCCATCTTGAAAGCGGAGTAGACCCTGGGAACGAGGTTGAGTAACATCATTACGACGGAGGGTTTTCGCTCGATAAAAGACAGGGTCTCTAGAGAATTAAGAAAAAATTGTGCGATCATCGGATTCGAATTTCACTGATCCAATTTCACAACGAAATGCTGTGAAGACATCCAAGGTCCAATTTCAGAATCCGTTCGACAAAGAAAAGGCTTTAATAGGCTGAAAAACAAAACTTATTTTAGGGATTTTTAGCATAAGGCGCAAAAACGCGGCGTTTCAAAAAGGTCTGGAATGAGCGCGTCGAGAGAAAAATAAAGACTGTTTTGTAAGACATTAGTAGCTGTACGAACTGGGAAAAAGGGAAGCCAGCCCTGGCAAATCTTTTGCCGTTCTATCTCTACTTACTTATCGCTCGTTCTCCTTGGCTCCTACTGTAGCTTATCAAACTCCTTCGAATCCCCCCCCCCCCCCCCCCAACTCCCGTTCTGCACCTTCCACACTGACTCATATGCATGTCTTGCGAGTGTTTGGTTGTGTTCAATTACCAAACCCAAACGAACGCGTTAGTAACGCCGGGAACAAAGTCGCACTAAAAGGTCTTGTATCCTTTATTATTCTACTATTACGTCATTTCACCATATAAGGTCAAGAGAACACGTAAAATATGAGACGGTATTGACTAGTTGAACAGAGCGAATACGGAAAATAGCATAATAGTCGGGAAATTTTTCAGTAGAATAATAAATCCCTTATTCGATGGTTCTGAACATATAATACGAGCAGACAATTTGCTCTTTTCTCGCATTTTTCCTCGCACCTACGGGCTCGGAAAAATACTACGCAACTCGCAAAATATCTGCGCATATTATATGTTAAACCATCGAATAAGGTGTATTTATTATACGACATAGCATTTTAGTTTGCGAATACGCACCAAAACGAGTGCAAATATGAGACCGTATTACACTCGTCTTAGCCCCCCTGACCGCGCGCTTCGGAAAACACTGTTGAAAGCCCAAATTTTAGAAAAGAATTACAAGGTATGTCGAAAGGCTCGAAAAAATAAAAACTGACTCGTAAAAATACCCAGTCGTATTACACAACTTTCCGCTGAATAACCTCTTTGTATTGTAATAATAATAATAATTGTACAACATTATACACTGTTTGTGTAGAAAACTGATTGCCAGTTCCTTCGAGTTTTCTTGAGGAGGCAATAAGTACTTCAGTTTCTTGAATATCACATTCTCATCCCCAGAGGCCACGATCCTTTTGGTCAGCACCAAGAATCGAGACCTCTGGCCGGTTCCAATACTGGGAGTCCTTGAATCTCGGACTAACTGTCAAATCTGACAAATCTGATTGGCTGAGAATACAGAACGAGTACTCTGCGCATGTTCAACAAATTGGTTCCGGCCAGAGGTCTTGATTCTTGGTGCTGACCAAAAGGATTGTGGCCTCTGGGGACGAGAATGTGAATATCACGGCCCCTTTTTAGCCATAACTATATAATATTTTACTCAATGCTTCAGACTAATCAAGTTTTTGTTTCATGGTTAACTGATCGATTATTATCCTCATCGCTCCCATCTTCCACCAAACATTCAAGTTCTTCATTGCTTAGTGGCTGCTTTGGAAACACGGCTCTGTATAACGGAAAACAGCAGGAGTTTTCGTTTGTTTCACTGTCATCTGTCAAAAATATCTCGGACTGTTCAGTTCTGTCCATCAGCTGTTTCATGTGACTGTCTTTGGCTTCTTGTAAAGTCTTTATCATGTCTTTTGATGAAATAGGTTTTCTATTCTTATCTTGCAGTTTCTGAAGCTCCCTCTCTGCAACAACAACAAAATATTTTGTAACACTTCATAGCCCTCCCTTGATTGTCAAATAAAAGAAATCCTACAGCATTAGGCCAGAATAAAATTGAACTTGACAATGAATTCTAGACAGACCCACAAAACTTAGATATTTTAGGGGTTCCTTTCAATATTTCTGACGATCACCACCGTCAATTTTATATGGTAGCACGATGGTACCATTTAATTTTTGCTGATACAAGTAAGGGATACAAAAGAAAAGGGTACACGTGAGATAATCAAGGAATCTCCTCCCCCTTTATTTAGCCCATAGATTTTTCGATATCAATTCGAATTGAACGGGATATTCGAAGCTGAATAAATTTATAAACTCACCTAAACGGGAAATATATTGTCCATTTCCGGCAGAAACCTTTTCTTCAGCCGTGCAATTAATGCATTTCGATTCCTTGTCTGATTCTTCAAACTCTACCCATCCAATATGACCTGAAAACGTCGGCGGAACTGTGCTTTCTGTGCTTGATCGTGACACTCCGAAGTTTACATCGTCCGCCATGTTGGTTTGCCATTGACAAGCGCGGCTACCAAGCTCATTTCGAGCGGTCGCAAAGCTGTTGAGCTCGGAGAGGAAAATATTTTCTTCGTCTTTCTTTCTTCGAGATTTTGTTCAATTTGACGAAATGAAACTCAAAGAACTGGAAGGATACTTGCAACAAGTCGATGTTTTTGAAAAGCCAAAAGTTGATCTTGAACAGTACCCTACCACGCCGCATATCGCAGCTCATATGTTGTACACTATTGACACAGCGTTTTGGGGACATGGAAGGCAAACTTGTTGGAGATTTGGGCTGTGGATGCGGGGTTTTAAGCATCGGTTCATGTATGCTTGGGAGTGCTTTGACTGTTGGATTCGATGTGGACTGCGATGCTTTGGACATCGCTTCTAAAACTGCGCAGAGTTCGAGCTACAGACATGTGACCTGGTTCAGTGTGATGTACAACAGATTACACAGTGTGACAGATGGACTAAAGTGTTTGACACGATTATTATAAATCCACCGTTTGGAACAAAGAACAACAGAGGTATCTGATGGGAGGAATATGCCGAGTAGATAAGTAAAATATTTACAAGAGATATCCAGGGGGTGGTGGAAGGGGTACAACTAACCCCCCTTTTTGGGGGGTGGGATGGGTTGGCTGATCCTTGACCTAAAGTGGTAAGGAGACTTTGTGAAATTGCTTGACAGCAATTTTCATAATTATTAGAAATTTTCAGGGCTTGAAATAAGGCCGGACATCGGACAATGTCCGACCAATCTGGGGTTTGACCGATCAATTTTTCGTCTTTGCCAGTCATGTTGACCGGTCAAATTCGATCATATGAAAAAAAACTAGTTTTCATGCTGTTCAGTTGTTTACTATCAGTATGCACCTTGCTGTGTATTGCAGAAGTTTGACCAGAAATGAACTACATGTAGAACAAAAGTTTACATCAAATGCGCGAACATCCAGCTATAGAGAAAAACACTCACTCACATTTTCTACGTTAATGAACATTCAAATTAAAAAAGGGATGAAAGTCATGAAAAACGGGTGTTTTTTTTATGCATCAAACCTTTTCTTCGATCATATCACCATTTGCGAAAAACGACTCGATCGCCCTATAATGCATTGCAAACCCCATGTGGCACTATTTTTAAAACAACAACTCTGATTCGTTATTTACAAAACAATTGCCGCAATCCGCCAATGAAAATAGGATTAGAAAGTAGTCCACTCAAGCTGTTTTCGGGTGAATTTCTCGATTCTTTTGGAAGGGAAATAGCCTAAAAAGTTTCTATTAAAATTTTGGTAATCAATAGGAATACCTGTATTAATTAAAATTTAGTATTGTGTGTGATTTTGCGGATTTTTGAGAATATTATTGTGCGAGTTTGACTGAATTGTGCGGTCCCGCACCCTGTCAGAAGCTTTTTGTTTCAATATTTGACCGATCAAAAACGAGCCGTGTCCGATGAAAAATATGTTTCACCGGACATCATGACCGATCACTCCCGAGAAATTATTTCAAGCCCTGATTTTCATAATTATAGAAAATAGAAAATGGCAATGTAAATTAAGCCGCACTTTGGCCAACAACTGGCCCACAATGCCAGTGCTTATTCAGATTTCCATAGCATGAAGCAGACTAGGAGTATTGGTTCTCCCCATTCATGGGATGCTAGTCCATCACAGGTTACCCCAGCATTTTGTCGTCAATACCCATTTATACTCCTGGGTTGAGAGAGGCACGTTGTCTTGTGCAAGAATACAACACAATGACCCCAGCCAGCGCTCAAACCTGGACTGCTCAATCCGGAGTCCAATGCACTAACCATTAGGCCACCGCGTCTCCCACCTTGTGTTTATATAGCTTGATGCCAAAAGACTACTCAACCAATCAGAGTGCGTGTTATATGACCAAAATTTTATAATGGTTAAAATTTATGCATTACAGTCGGACCTCCGCTAAACAGACACCTCCCGTAGGCGGACACCTCTCGTAAGTGGACACTTGGTCACGTTCCCAGCTACATACAAACACTACATTTTTAACCTCCCATATAAAGCGGACACCTCTCTTAAGTGGACACTTTTTCTGGTCCCGAGGGTGTCTGCTTATGGGAGGTTCGACTGTATTACATAAGAGAAGAGAAAACTAACATTTGTTGTCATGCTCTTACAGAGTCCCTGCTTACTTGGTGATTTTAGTTTGTTATTGTAGATTATAATACAGATTAGATACAGTGTGTGTGTGTGTGTTCTGGAAACATGGTTTACTGGAATTTATAATATAGCTCTAGTAGTGGTGCATTGAGTTTCAGTGTTTTGTCAGAGTACAAAGCACAGAAATTATGTTATTCCGCATACTCGAGCAGTAAAAACTTGAAATCTGCAGTTTCAGTTATACTTGCCTGTAAACACAGACATATTTCTAGCTGTTTGTTTCATAGACTGTGAACAGTCCCTCTTTTTTTTGCGCTGAAATCGTCGCGCTGTCATGATCGATCGTTGAGCCGCCATCTTGGATTATTTGGCGAGCGAAAACTCCCCTGGGTACGTGGGAGGGGTGCCACCCCGCCCCCATACCCAGGGGAGTTTTGTTCCTGCCACGCCCTACCCCCTTACCCAGGAGAGTATTGTACCCACCGTGCCCCGCCCCCATACCTAGGGGAGTTTTGTCCTCTCCCAGATTTCGCTCGCCAAATAATCCAAGATGGCTGCTGCACGATCGATCGTGACAGCGCGACGATTTCAGCGCAAAGAATAGAGGGACTGTTCACAGTCTATTTGTTTCATGCCACAAACAGCCAGAAATACGTCTGTGTTTGCAGGCTAACAACTTGCAAGTTATACTTGATAAATCAAACTGACAGATAAGTAGGGGTAATCATTTAATGGTGGTGAGTGAAATGAAGAAATAATTCCACATACATTTTGTCAAAATTCGAATAATTTTCTGAGCCTTAATTAAGGTGAGGGAATTAATCGAATTTTGACAAAATGTAGCCAAGTGTTCAGGTTTAACTGAATCAGGCAATCTGATTGGTTAAATGAGCAGTCCATATTTTTTCATCTAGACTGCTCGCATTTTCATTCAGACTTCTTACGGACGATGGCCATTTTTAGCATCATTCTACGTTAGAAAAATAATAAAAATATCACTGACCAAGCTTGTTTGGTCCTAGCCTGTTCCAGGCGTTCGGATAGTGGGGGAGCGATGCGAAAAGACGCGCTCCTCCACTATCCGAACGCCTGGAACAGGCTAGTTTGGTCCAGATGTAGAAAATAATATTATATCCTTGTTCATTTTTTTGCCAATATTTCTAAATTCAATAACAACTATTTCAATCTATTTTAGGTATTGACCTTATGTTTTTACAAAAGCCATAACCATGTCCAATACAGCTGTATATTCTCTTCACAAGACAGCGACAAGAGAACACATCAAGAAGAAGGCATCGGAATGGGGAGTGAAGTTGGATGTATTAGCTGAGCTGCGATATGACTTAGCTGCAAGCTACAAGTTTCACCGCAAAAAGACAGTTGATATTGAGGTAGACTTCATTAGGATAGACTGTTCAACTACTGTAGTCGATGATTAATAACAAATAATACGAGAGTAATACGAGAGAAGAATCTCATGCAACACCACTTAGGTACCTACTGCTCAAAACGTCACCTTGGGCTGCCTGTGGTAACATGAGCACGTCGGCAAGTCCCACCAGTTTCCCTTTCTGACCATACAAACTACGACAGTGTAAGACTACTGGTTGACCGTTGAGAATTATAAGGATTTGTATGGGAATTTTATCACTGGGAAGATTTTGCCATACTAAACTTATTGGGAACGACATAACTGTCTCTTGCAAAGATGCCTAGATCCGCAAGTTTTATACAACACGAAGAGTACAATACAATACAATACAAAGCCTTTATTTCAACACGATAAGTATAAAAGCTACAAGCTTATGGGGTCGTGCATCTGAAAGTAATAATTACATACATTCGGAACCATATAGTATATACTATCTACATTATTTTAATAAGGAGGAAAAATAAATAAATAAATAAATGAATAGAACAGAAACTGTATTTTTCAAAAGTAAATAGCAAACGAGTAGCAAACGAAACTCCAGAAATCAGTTTTCCAAAGCTTTGCAAATAGATCGGAATAAATTTTTTCAGCAATTTTTACTCAGACTGTGTAATCTGCTGGGTGTTTTTGTCATCTATATTTTTGTATATCCTTTCTGGTATTTGCAAGTCATCGCCATGCTCTTGCTAGCTCTTGCTGGCCATCCAAATTGCTTCGGAAAATCTGTTTCTACGCCATGTAAGCCACATTTGTATAGACTGCTTGCAGTCTGTTTTTCTCTCGAAATACATAATCGAAAGAGCGCGCGCGAGAAATTGGGACGGGAAGGCTTGGGGCGAGACGACGGCCAGTTTGACGAAAGCCCTAATAAACACCCCCGACGGACCCTAAGAGAAAAGAGGGACTGCAAGCAGTCTAACATTTGTAAGGCAGGCGCAAGTATGGCGTTCCGTTGCGGACAACATATCCAGATCGCAAAATTTGAAGTCGAGAATAGAAAACTTGGTCCAAAAGCAAAAACTGAGTCGAGATGTACAAAATATTGAGTCGAAAATGTTAAAAAGTTGATCCAAAACAAAAACAGATTTTCGAGAAACAGCAGGAGGGAATTTCAGCGAGAGGACGCTGGACAGTTGCATCCGGCGTGTGTGATCTCCACAATGGCTGACAGATCGGTAGAGAGGAGCTTCGACATTCAGGAGGTTGTTAGGAAGGTTGTGGCTGTCTGTAGCACAAACAACGAACAATCCTCATCCTCTCACCAACACAACAGCAGACGAATTGAACTGAGTATTTCAGATGCCTCGTGCCCCACGACGATACAACCATGCATCTGCAGGGCATCAACACATCCACACCTTCATTTCACAACCTATCTGGACTCAGTGGACTATCTGCTGGGTTTTCTAGCAGCCAAAATTATAGTCTGGGCGTTGATAGCGGACAGAGACGAAGAAGGCGGCAAGCGACGCCGATCCGAACATCTTCTGTCCGCTTTTATGATGTACCGGCCGCCGCGAAGAAGCAGCGGACCGTGTGGACCGATAACTCGAACCAAAAGTCGTTTCCTTTGAATTTGTTACACTGTAATTTTCAGAGGGCCGCCTCCTCATCCGTTGACTCCAGTTGCAAATTCAGAGGTGGTCAAAAGGGTGGGGGGGGGGGGGGGGGGGGGTGGAGAGATGAGGGGGGTACGAAGTGAAAATAGACCCTTTCATGTTCGTATAACCTTGGAAGGGGTGGCCCGGGGTAAAGGTGAACCTTTTGCCCTCTCAGCAACAATCCGGCAGTCGATAGAAAACGTGTTATGATCAAGGTATAACTCATAGTTAAACATGATAAAACACTGTTGCTTGCATGTTTATTAAACATTACGTAAATGAGAATCTCTTCTCAGGTTTACGTAGTCTCCTGCGATATTACTCCATACTTTGGGTCCAATGTATCTTATATCAAATTTACCATAATTACAGTCGAACCCCTATTAAGCAGCACTTGCCATTTCCCCGAGGGTGGCCGCTTAATAGGGGTAATTCGACTGTAGTTATAACAAGAGCAAAGTCAAAAGATTATATTGACCAAAGCATGTTGCGGAATCTTTGATCAACTCCGCCCTCGCTGGTTTCGTGAGGACAGTATCTCTCTCGTTATTAATATTCTCGTTCCCAGATCCTCCGTTTCTTTTGGTCACGTGGTTGGTCACAACATTTAAAACAACCGCGTAGCTCTGGGGACGAGAATGGCATCACCATGGAAGCGTACAATCTTGAATAATTTAAAATTCGTACAGTAGTCTATTGCACATGACCAAGAGAGCATGATCTAAGAGAAGCATTCCCCCATACATGGGTCTCTTCGAGTGACATTTGTTGAAATTTATTTTTAACTTTTAGTCCATAGCTACGCTATTTTAAAAGTTGAGAGAGCTACCTGATTGGTCAGATCGAGTAACTATGTGGACGCCTCACCAGAAGGGAATAAAAATAACTTTCAAACACGACACGAAACTATTAATAGATTTCACAAAAATTATCATGGAACACAGGGAATCCTTCTCTTAGATCATCCTCTCTTGAAAAGTCTACATAATGCCATCGGGACAATCTAAACAATATGCGATAAAAACATAACGGTCGTATAACAATAAGGACAATTACAACTATCGATCTAATCTTACATTATAATTCTACTAAGATTTATCTGTTCGTCTAGAGTAAGTATTTTCATGCCCCACAATCACGAATACTGAAAAATCACAAACCCACAATATTGCAATACAACTAAATTTAAGTTATAAATCATATTTACCGCTAGCTAATTTAGCTAGATATACGCATGTAGTTACATCAGTTCCATGAACAAACTAAGGATCCCCATATGAAAGTGATGGAGGTGATTTGGACCTACGAGTTTGAATTATAGGCTTTTCTATCAGTGCAACCAAGATAATTCAATTGCTCATGTATAATCTGTTGCAGAGTTTTTGGGTCATTTATATGATCAATCTCACTCATTTTGCCGGTCAATACGGGGCAGACAATCAGATTAATCATACTCATTCCAGAAAATCTTTTCGGATTGTCACGACACCACAATTGAACCACGCGCATCCAAAGGGCATAACATTTTCATCCACTATCCACTTTCCATGTTCCTCGTCATACCACTCAACAGAATCAACAGCTTGACTGTTATGCCTTCCTCCAAAAATATATATCTTCCCTTCAACTCGACCCACTCCTCCTGCAGCTCGC